TCCAAAAATTTCTAGATAAACTAGACATCATTATCAACAACTTTGTAGAAGAAATCATCTCGAAATTCTAAGTATAAAATTGTCTAAAAATTCGGGCAACATGCTGACAGATTCAACATAGATTATCTTCAACACAATTTAGACAATGTATCATATGTACACAATCTGAAAATTTCAATTATGTAAAAAAAATGAGGAGAGGATTGAGAGGATTTTCTTACTTAGTAATAGGGTGACAAAATGGTTGAGAATTTTGGCTTCCTTAATCTCCTACTCTTCTTCCTCTCATATCACTAAGCTTGGTTGCTTCAGGAATTTCTCTCTTCTTCTTTTTTTTTCTCTCCGAATGCTTGCATGCACCCTATAGACAATGAAGACTTGCATGCATATATATATATACAATGCTTGTTGCACAAATCTCTCTCTCTCTCTCTCTCTCTCTCTCTCTCTCTCTTCATTCTAAGTTTTCTTTCTCTCAATTCCAAGAGCATCATTAGCTCTTCTTCCCTAAACAAGCATGCAAATCAACACGTGGAAAGCATCCACCAAATTTCTGCAAAGGTTTGATTCCCTCTTCTTTTTTTTTTTTTTTTTTTTGTGTGGGTTTCTGAAAATTGACACACTAAGATTTTTAACAAAGGTATTTAGTAAGAATAGTTATTATATTGAATCATAATTAAAATAATTTATAAACAACAAATATTGAACACCCACAAAATTATTATTCTTAATAATGTCTTGTTAGTGATTGAATTGAGTCAATTTAAAACTAACTTTTACACTAAAATACAATTCAGATAGACTGTAGACAAAATTAATTAATTAAATGATGGGTTTTCACATTTTCACCTTGCCGTTAACAATTTGGATGCCATCTATCATTTGGACTAAACAAAACCAAAATGTGATAGTTAGGGACCAACAAGACAAAATTAATAGTTTAAGGACTACATAAACAAAATGGTGATAGTTTAGCGGGGTAAAAGTGTTATTAGCCCAAGCATTTAGGATAAATTATACTGACACCTTTGAGGTTTGGCTCGATGATAATAATCCCTTGACATTCTAGAAACTACATTTTCCTCCTTGAGGTTTAGAGTCACATTATAATTTCATCCCTCTGTTAGTTAACTGTTCAATCAACTAACAGAAAATGCCGAGGTAAGCAATGAAATTTTTTTAAATTACTATTTTATCATATTCCTCTCAATCTTCTATCTCTATCACCTCTCTCAAAAACAAACTTGAGACCCACAACCACCTCTATCATATTCCTCTCCATCTTCTATCTCTATCACCACTCCCAAAAACAAACTTGAGATCCATACCCACATTTATTTATTTAATATCAGAGAGACCCACACCCACCTTTGCCTTACCCAAACTTGCCGGCATTATTAAATTCTTCACATTGAGATCATCATAGACCTGCAACAAAAACTCATTTTATAATTTTGATCAAAACATCAAAAATAAAAAGGAAAATATTAATGCACTGTAGATTTATAAAATTATTTTAAAATTAATGATAAACAATGTATACATTAAACTATAAAATCATAAGTTTTTCCATTGATCAATAATTAAATTTTGAAAGTACCACTGTTTTGTAATTGGCCCAAAATAAAAAGTTCCAAAAGTTCACAAGGTAACAGAACCTACAAACCCACAAAAATTAATAAAGTCAATACATCAAACATTACACTAATAATAAACCCTCAAAAGGATGTATAATATATATATAAGTTATTCTATTTGTGATATTATAACTCATTTTTTTTCAATCACAACTAAAAAATAATAATGAGTCATAACCAAATATGAAATAAAGTATAAATAAAAATATTTTCAATCATAACCAAGATAGTAATTACAATAGATCGTAATTAACATCACAACAAATTATAATTAATATCACAATTAGTCATAACTAAATCATAATGAATATATAATAGGTTATAATCAAAGATCATAAATATTATAACTCGAACATGTGATACATACTCCAAAATAAAATGCATATTATAGAATTTACTACTAAAAAACATATACATATACAAAGGAAACAACTTATTTTCTACTCACTTATTGCCATAAAACTACTGCACCAATCTGCTGTTGAAATAATAAATATGATTTTAGTTCAATTAATTTACACATTTTCTAGAAGTATCTATTTATATTTTATCCATGTATTGTCAATATTAATGTATTTTTGAGATTCATGTACTCCTAGGATGAATGTATCTAAAAAGATTCATGTATGGTACATTGGATGTAGAAGATGTATTGGTCTCTTGGCTTGTTCAATAGAGACTATAAATAACTCATATACCTAAGTGTTTTAAGTAAGGGGAATCAAAATATTTGAGAGTCAAGAATTCCTCTTCCCTCTTTCAAAGGATTTGGAATCCATGACTATTGATCAACTCTCGGGATCTCTACAAGCTCATGAGGAAAGGCTAAAGAAAAATTCAAATGAGACTGTGGAACATGTTTTGCAAACAAAACACTCTTCTAGATGTGGAAGAGGTCAAAGAGATCGAGGACAATCACGTGGACATAGTCACGGAAGAGGTGAAAAAGGTGGTCGTGGCTCATTTGTCAATGAGTCAAAAGGAAGAAACCAATCTTCAGAAGAAAGAAACCAATCCTCATCATCAAGAATGCATGGAAGAGAAAGAGCTATAGAACGAGAAAACTTTTCAAAAATGTATGATAAGTCTCAAGTTCAATGTTATAATTGCCACAAATATGGCCATTATGCTTCGGAATGCCAGGATGCTACTGACAATCTTGAAGAAAAAACTCATCTTGTTGAACAAAAGGATGAAGTAGAAGAGCCTACTTTATTACTCGCCGTCAAAGACAACGAAGAATTAGAAGCGAATCTATGGTATATTGACAATGGTGCAAGTAATCACATATGCAGCAATAGAAGCAAATTTGTGGAGCTTGATGAAACTTGGAGAGGTCAAGTTACTTTTGGAGACTCCTCAAAAGTTCCAATAATGGGCAAAGGTACAATTTTACTTCGTTTGAAAAATGGGCATCAGAGAATTATGTCGGAAGTATATTTTGTGCCCAAAATGAAAAATAATATTTTGAGCTTAGGTTAACTTGTAGAAAAGGGTTATGAAATTCAAATGAAGGACCGTACCCTTTGTTTAAGATATGAAATGAATAATTTGGTTGCTAAAGTTTCAATGACTCGAAATAGAATGTTCTTGTTGAATCTTCAAACCCGACAAGGCCAAGTGTTTGAATGCAAATATGAAAGATAAGTCTTGGTATTGGCACATGAGGCATGGACACTTGAATTTCGGAGGACTAAAATTGATAGCCAAAACAAAGATGGTGCATAGGTTGCCCTTTATCAACCATCCGGAACAATTATATGAGGGGTGTTTATTTGGCAAACAATTTCGGAAGTCCTTTCTAAAAGAATCCACTACTAGAGCTACGGAGCCACTGGAGCTTGTGCATACGAATATTTGTGGTCCAATTAAGCTATCATCATTTAGTAAGAACACTTATTTTCTGCTTTTCATTGATGATTTTAGCAGAAAAACCTATGTTTATCTTTTGAAAGAAAAATCTGAAGCTTTTGGAGTTTTCAAAAAATTCAAGGCATTGGTTGAGAAGCAAAGTGGCTATGTCATTAAAGCCTTGAGATCCAATAGAGGAGGCGACTTCACATCAAATAAATTTAAAGAGTTTTGTGAAGCTAATGGGATTCGTTGTCTTTTAACGGTTCCAAGATCGCCACAACAAACTGGTGTTGCTGAGAAAACGAATAGATCAATCCTTAACATGGTGAGAAACATGTTGAAAAGTAATAGAATACCAAAAGAATTTTGGACAAAGGCTGTGGACTGTGCAGTTTATTTGTCAAATCGATGTCCTATAAGAAGTGTACAGAACATGACACCACAAGAAGCTTGGAGTGAAATGAAGCCTAATGTCTCATATTTGCATGTATTTGGAAGCATTACATATGCTCGTGTTCCATATCAACAAAGGTCCAAGCTAGATTCTAAAACCGAGAAATACATTTTCATCAGGTATGAATCAAGTTCAAAAGGCTACATGCTCTACAATCATATTACAAGGAAGATCATCATCAACAAAGATGTGGAGTTTGATGAAGAGAGCACATGGGATTGGAATACTCAAGAAGAAGAAAGTTATGATTTCTTCCCAATTTTTGAAGAAGAGCAATCACTTTCTGAGGTGCCAGAAGAGCCTATTACACCTCCAGTATCTCCTTCTCATCATCGTGAGCCGTCATTGTTGGAAGGAAACTCCAATGCTGGACAAGATGAGAAGTGAAGAATTGTTATGGTTGAGAAGATGAATGCCATTAACAAGAACAACACATGGGAGCTCGCTACTCTTCCAAAAGGACAAAAAGACATTGAAGTGAAGTGGGTATACAAGGCAAAGAAGAATGCAAAGGGAGAGGAGAAAGATACAAAGTAAGATTAGTGGCAAAAGGTTATAGTCAACGTGCTGGGATTGACTACAATGAGATATTTGCCCCTGTTGTCTATTTAGAAACTGTAAGGTTGTTGATTTCTCTTTCTACCAACAATAATTGGAAAATTTATCAAATGGATGTCAATTCTGCTTTTTTGAATGGGTTTCTTGAGAAAGAAGTGTACATCAATCAACCTATGGGGTATATGATCAAAGGCCAAGAAGATAAGGTTTTCACGCTTTCGGATGGTTTCACTAAATGTCCATATGAGCATGCTCTTTACTCTAAAGTGCATAGAAATGAAGATGTCTTGGTTGTTTGCTTGTATGTGGATGATCTTATTTTTACAGAAAACAATCCAAGCATGTTTGAGGAATTCAAGAAAGCAATGATTTGAGAATTTGAGATGACTGATATTGGACTCATGGCGTACTACCTTGGCATTGAAGTCAAGCAGATGGAGAATGGAATATTTATTTCTCAATAAGGATATGCAAAAGAAATACTCAAGAAATTCAAGATGATCGATTGCAAGCCTATTAACACCCCCGTGGAATGTGGAGTCAAGCTAACAAAGCATGAAAATGGAGAAAATGTTGATGCAACTCTTTTCAAGAGTCTAGTTGGAAGTTTACGGTACTTGCCTTGCATAAGACTAGATATTCTTTTTGGAGTTGGGCTGGTAAGTCGCTTTATGGAAGCACTCACAATGACTCACTTTAAGGCTGCGAAAAGAATTCTTTGTTATGTTAAAGGAACAATTGATTTTGGTTTATCTTATTCATCCTCAAATGAATACAAGCTTGTTAGCTATTGTGATAGTGATTGCACTGGAAACTTGGATGATAGAAAAAACACTTCTGGCTTTGTGCTTTTCGTGGGAAATATAGCTTTTACTTGGAGTTCAAAGAAACAATCGATAGTAGCACTTTCTACTTGTGAAGCTGAGTACGTTGCAGTTACATCATGCACTTGTCATGCAATTTGGCTAAGGAATTTGATGAAGGATTTGCAATTTGCACAAGAGGAAACAACGGAGATCTTTGTTGATAACCAGTGTTTCATGATCGAAGTAAACATATTGATACAAGGTATCATTTTGTTAGAGAATGCATTGCGAAAAAGGAGGTACAACTCAAGTTTGTGAAATCTCATGATCAAATTGCTAATATATTCACAAAGCCACTCAAGTATGAAGACTTCACCAAGTTTCGGACCTTGCTCGGAGTTACTAAAAGTCAAGTTTAAAAGGGGGTGTTGAAATAATAAACATGATTTTAGTTCAATTAATTTATGCACTTTCTAGAAGAATCTATTTATATTTTATATATGTATTATCAATGTTAATGTATTTTTGAGATTCATGTATTCCTAGGATGAATGTATTTAGGAAGATTCATTTATGGTACATTGGATGTAGAAGATGTATTGGTTTCTTGGCTTGTCCATTAAAAACTATAAATAACTCATGTACCTAAGTGTTTTAAGTAAGTAGAATCAAAATATTTGAGAGTTAAGAATTCCTCTTCCGTCTTTCAATCTCTCTAGCCTTTGTGTGATCCATTTTATTTCCAACACCTGCCATTGCCAATGGAAAAAACAAAAGATCAAACTTGGTAGTTGTTCGAACTACCACAACCCCAAAATCAAACAATTAACCATCAAACCAGACACACCAAACTACGACACCACACCACGGTCTCCAACTGTGGCCCAGTCTCTCTTTTTCTTCCTCACATTCTCTGTCCCTCTAATTCATTCTTCTTCTTCTTCTCCCTCTCATTTTGATTTGATCGTCGATTTGGGTTTGATCTGTTAAAGGTTTAGTTTGGATTTGGTCTATTATGGTGGTTTAGGTTTGGTTTGCAACTTTTCTGTCACGGGTTATGGTGGAGTAGACATAAGTGCATATGGTGTGGCGATGGGGGATAGTGAGTTGTGGGGGGTAGGTAATGGTGGCGAGTTTGCGATGGTAGAGATAGAAGGCAGATGTGATGAATGTGATGATGGGTTTGTGAAGTAATGGTGGCAAGTCTGTGAAGTGTTGTTATTTACAGGGTCTATGATTGTGGTGCTAGAAGGTAGATGGGGTAGCTGATAGAGTATGAGCAGTAGTGAGTAGAGATGGATAATGGTGGGTGATGGTGATTGATTTTGATAGAGGCAATAAAGAAGGGCAAAAGAGAAAGGTAGAAGAAAATGATAAGGGTAAAATAATAATTTTACATTTTTAGTAAAGGGTCTTAAAGTCTTTTTATATTTGTCGTTACTTATGTGAATAGACAAACACTAATAGGGGAGGTTAGTGTAATTTCTAAAATGTCTAGAGGGCTTGTATTAAACTCAAATTTTAGGGGTGTAAATATAATTTACCCAAGCATTTATATAGGGGAAATTTTGATATACACCATTTTAAAAAGGGCAAAACATCAATAAATCCCAAATTTTAATTTGTTAAACCATTTGGTCCTGCCTTTTATTTTGTAGACTAATAAATCCTATTTGAATGTTAATTAAATATATATCCATTTATTTAACACGTAATTTTTTTTTTTTTTTGATGGAGGGCAAATGTAAGTTTTTCCTAATGTTGTAATGACAAAAATACCCAAAAAGCTTACTATAGGCTTTTTTAAATTTCCTTCCTTTCCGGACATCAGCAACATTAACTACATCAGCAGCATCAACAACATCATCAAACATCAACTACATTAGCAACATTAACTACATCATCAACATCATTAAACATCAACTACATCATCAACATCATCATACATCATCAACATTGTGAACATCTTCAACATCATCAAATATCAGCAAACATCAACTACATCATCAAAAACATCATCAACGTCATCAAACATCATCAACATCATAACTATGTCTATAACCAGGTTGCTTCGAAGCCCATACGAAGAATCTATACCCCAAGCTTCCGGCGTCGCTGCAACGATTCAGGACTCGTTCTGTTAGCCCCGACCTCACGACGACGCCTGATTGTTGCAAAGCAAGTTCTAATTTTGGAACCCTAGAATGGAATTTTGTGAGAATTCTATACACCTTTTCGACATCAGAGGAAAACTCGTCGTTGTTGTGGTCAGTGGTGGAGTTGTCTAGATCGTTTTCGAGACAGACGAGACCAAACCCTATTTTGGACTTGATGGGAATTTCAGTATTGGAATAGGTTTTGGAGGGTGTGTGATTTGGGTTGAATTTTGATGGGTTTTCGGGTGAAGCTGATTGGGAATCAGTGGAAGAGAAATGGTCTGTCTTGGGATGGCCTGGTCTGCTCAGTTTAGCATAGTCTGCTGATGGCAAGAGTGTAGTCTGAGTTTATCTGCTGGGCGTTTGGTCTGAACTCTGTCTTCATTCAGTAAGGTATTCAGCCTGTTGCAGGTCATGGTATGCTCTCAGAATTAGCAGGGGAGGATGATTCAGAGGAGATTCAGCAGTATGTACAGAGGAAGATGCAGATGCAGATGCAGTGGAGTGTGTTCCTGGGGGCTAATTCACCTTGAATCTGGTTTGGGTTGGACTGAGTAAGATGCAGATGGAAGGCTGCAGATCTGTGTTGTTTTGTTTTGGTATTCTGCTTTGGTGCATAGGATTTGGCTCATAACAGCTGTGTATACCGTTAGTTCTTTGATCCTTTTAGTTTAGCCTATCTGTTACTTGCTTCTTTTCTTGTTCTCTCTTGTTGGTTCCTCACCAACTGGCGCTTGGTGCTTTTTTAGCACCAAGCTCCTCTTTATTGATGTAATATTGCTCTATGTATGTTCATCAATAAAGATTTATCTTTTGCCGATCAAAAAAAAAAATTCATCCTCTAATTGATGAATTTATTCCTACAATTGACGGGGAAAATGGAATTTGCTACACACACCCAGAAAAGTTACCAGGTAATTAATCTTTTTTTTTTAAAAAAATTATTATATTTAACCACATGAATTATATGCTTCATTCCTTTGGGTAGATCTGTTAGGTTATATTCATATTCATATGCCAACATATTCACTAGAATAGGCATCTGAGATGGATAAGTATTTTCATATCATTGATATGAATTGGATAAAAAGAGATATGGGAATGATTACCTAATTAAAAATTTATTCAAAAGTTAAAGCCTTGTTTGGTTTGTGTTTCTTAAAAATTTTCGGAAAAATTTTCTACAAGTAAGTTTTCAAAAGTAATCAAACTAAACAAATTTTTCCAAATTTTTTTTTCAAAACTTGTTTGGTTTACAAGTTTTCCAAACAAATCTCTCTTTCATACAATCAAATCAATCACTTTTTCCAAAACTCTCCCTCAAAATAATTTTTCAAAACATCTTTTGAAAAAAAACCAAACCAAACAAATTTTCGTACTTTTTATCTCAAAACATGTTTCTCAAATACAAACCAAACAAGCCCTAAATTTCTAGAGAGTAAATTTATTATTTATATGTTGCTGAGTCTTCGTTATAAACTAGGTAAAACACATACAAGTACTATATTTTTGGACAAATTATATCCACAATCTTTATAATTATTTTTTAGTATCAATTTCGTCCCTATAATTTTAATTATATCAATTTTAATTTTTAATTTTTATATTGTGTACCATTTAATCCAATCAATAACCATTGTTAAAAATTTGGACATAAATTAATAGCAAAATTATCCATTCATAGAGGAATGAACCTTATAATCACTGAGAAGATAGTGAATTAACTATTTTATCTTTTGATTTCAGTTCAATTTCTAAAAAGACATTATTAGTTGAAATAAATTGACATAATGTAAAAAATTTAAGGATAAAGTTTGTTGGGGCAATCCCATATCGCCTAGGGAACGGATCAACTTCACCTTATAAGCGTACTAGCACCTCAACCTGCTACAACACGTTTTTTTCCCGAGGAGGAACAAAGTCGTGAGGCCAACGAGCCTCCGCACCCACCTCGCCAAAGCGGACAATATTGTAGTAGGCATGCAGGCGCCAGGCACGCACATTTGGCGCTAGAGAAAGGGCTTGTCTCTTCCCTCGTTGTTGCGGGCCTAGTCCGCTGTGGGGTTATATTGGGGCAATCCCACATTGCCTGGGAGGACAAACCGACTTCACCTTATAAGCGTACTGACCCCTCAACCTGTTACAACACGTTTTTCCCTGAGGAGAAACAAAGCCATGAGGCCGACGGGGCTCCGCTCCTACCTCACCAAAGCGAACAATATTGTGGTAGACACGAAGGCGCCATACACGCATATTTATACTGATGGGCATAGCCCAGGAGGGCCCAGCCCATGGCCCAAGAAGGCCCAATCCGCCTTTGTCCTAAGCCCCCCAGACAGTTGCACGGACTAAAGCCCAGTAACCATGATAAGTCGATGTTGGCCCAGGTCTAATAGCATTTGGACACCTGTCGGAAAGGAAGTCGGGCAGGTGGTAGACAAAGATCTTGCAAAGTTATTGAGCTCGGGCATTAAGCATTAAATGAGATTGACATGGCATTAAATGCAACAAGACCTCTTGCTCCTGGGTATGGTGAAACAGCCATGACCGACAACGAGTAAACCCTAGACTTTTGAACAATAAGATAGCTTGAATGGATAAGGAAATGGTTGGTAAAAGATATAAGGAAGCTTGTGGAGAACATTAAAGACAACAAGTAATATCCTCTTCCCTCTCTTTCATGATTTATTCTCTAGTCATTTTCCTCCGATCACTTCCTGTCTAACTTAACCATCGGAGTGTCCACGGGAAGAAACTAATCTAGTCTTGGCACCTCCCTATCGAACCTTTTGCAGGCATGTATCAAGAAGACGAAGGCCAGCAGACCTGTGGAACACGTGGATTAGTCCGACCCATCTTTCTTTGATCGTGTTGCATTTTCAGTTGGCGCCGTCTATTGGAACAACCCTTGGTCGACAGTTGTGTTCATTGTCACAGGAGGAAGTTCCACCATTACCCATCTTCTACGTCAGAGTGGATGGTTACGACGATATCCATAGTTTCATAACACAATGTTGGTAACCCCCAAGTTGAGTCCTCCAACCCAAACAACCCATCTCTGTATTTCACCGAACTCACTAACAACATCAACCGCCTAGCCAAACAAAACCAAGCCCTAATTAACGCTTTGCTCCAGTGTGACTTACCTATCCTCCTCCTTCATCGTAAGAAATTCCCCTAACCCCAGAACATGTCCACCATCATCATCCCTTCCAACCACATGTGTCCTAAGGGTCGTTCCCGCCCTTCGCCCCACAAGCTCAACCAACGAATCTTGAAGGTCTGCACGCCCCTCGTCCGGGCTGGCAGTTTCACCAAGAGGAACCCCCACAGCACCGCTTTGCTATCCATGAGGGAGAAGCTAGTAGTGTTCAACCCCTACTTTATGCTAGAGGGGAAAATGCTCATGTTTGGGACGAAGAACTGCGGGCTATGAAGCTCCAGCTCCAAGGAGTCATGCAAAACATGTAGAGCAAACTTTCTTCCACTGTCAACTTCCACTTCACGACTTCTATTCGGGACAAACCTCTACCGACTAAGTTCAAAATGCCGTTGATTGACACCTTTGATGGTACAATCGATCCGGTTGACCATGTGGAAGCGTATAGGACACTAATGATCCTCCATGCCTTCCCAGACGAGATCATGTGTCGCGCTTTTCCCGTCACGCTGAAGGGGTCGGTGCGGCTCTGGTTTGGCCATCTTTAACCAGACTCTATCACTTTTTTTCACCAGCTCAGCGAATATTTCATAAGCTATTTCATTGGTGCTCAAAGGCAGCGGCATCCGATGACTCAGTTGCTAAATATTTGACAGGCGGAAGGTAATCACTGCACAGCTTTGTTACCCGCTTTAATAAAGAGGCCCTACAAGTTGAAGGTAATGATGACAAGATCATTCTAATAGCCTTCATGGCCTGTTTGCGCCCGTCGGATTTACTCTTTTTCCTCTAAAAAAATCCTCTGACCACCATGGTCATCCTCTTCGCCAAAGCCCAAAAATACATGAACACCGAAGACTCTTTGGCGGCTCGCCAAGATTCCACATCAAAACCCCAAAACCCCCACAATCCAAAGAAAAGCGAAAAGAAACCAAGCCCAAGTATTCACAATACACTCATCGACCTCCTCAATATACGGACAGACCCCCGCACTGTGATTGACTTGCTCCTACCCGTCCATCCCGGTCAGTTAGAACGATACACCCCTCTTAACTCATCTATGGAATGAGTCCTAAACCAAATTCAACATAACTACAACCTAAAATGGCCCCAACCATCAAGATCTTCTTCTGTTCAACAAGACCAATCCAAGTACTGTCGTTTTCATCGTGACCACAGCTATAACACCGAATATTGCGTTAATCTTAAGGACTAGGTTGAGAACCGGATCTGCCAGGGGCACCTTAACCGGTTCACCATAGCCCGTCCCCATCAATGAACCAGGGGCAACCCCCCAAGACAGAACAACAGATGCACTCCCTCTAGGCAGCCCGAACAACCTAGACGGAATAATGACAAGGCCCAACCACAATCCCAAGCCCAAGGAGGGCCCGCACCCTTATTGGGAGAGATCAGGGTCATCAAGATCTGTTTTTTCTCTCCTGGCCATCCCCAAGCTAACAGCAAGGTGGAAGTGACCAACCGTTCTCTGTTGAAGATTATCAAGACCAAGTTGGAGGTCGCTAAGGGACTCTGGCCAGAAGAGTTACCGAACATACTCTAGGCTTATTGAACGACCGCAAGAACTTCCACTCGGGAGACCCTTTTCGCTCAACATACTGCGCCGAGGAAGTCATCCCTCTGGAAGTTGGCCTACTAACCCCTAGGGTTGTCCATCCCAATCCGGAACTGAACGAAGAATTTCGGAGGGTTGACTTAGACCTCATTGAAGAACTGCGAGAATCAACCACTGTCAGACTAGCTTCATACTCGCAAAAAGTGAGGCAGCACTATAATAGTAGAGTTAGACCCAGAGAATTCGCAGTGGGGGACCTAGTCTTACGAAAAGCAACTCTCGCTACCAAAAACCCGACTAAGGGCAAGCTAGCAGCTATGTAGGAAGGACTTTACATTGTCAAATCTAGGTCGCATCCAGGCACTTACCATCTGTAATATATGGAGGGTAGAGATCTCCCTCATCCATGAAATGCTGAGCACTTAAAGCGGTATTTCTAGTAAAATGGAGTATTTTCCTGTTGCATTGTTCATTTTGATGTTCGGACCACTCGTTCATATTTGTCATTTCAATACAATGTACAAGCTTATAATGGCAGGATTGCGCATTAATGAAAATGATATTCAACCCTCATTATTTGTGTTGTACATTTTGTGAGTGTTACGCTGCGTTAAACATGAAGAGCTCAGCCAGACTAAGCATGAAGAGCTTAGCTAGACTAAGCATGAAGAGTCTAGCTAGACCGAGCAGAAGAGCCCAACCAGATTGAGTCCTTTAAGCCTCAGCCAAACTGAGCATAAAGATCCCAGTTAGGCTGAGCCCTCTGAGCCTTAGCCAAACTGAGAATAAAAAGCTCAACTAGACTGAGCATGAAGAGCTTTCTTTCTCAAAGACAAACTTCACCAATTACAACATTGTTTCATTCATTAAAGTTTTACTAATTAAAATTACAAGTCGCCATTTCACCTTTTGTTTTGAGATGAGTCCAGTTTTTATGTAATCACATGGTTAGTGGGGCTAGTTCATTATACAGCAATAAAAAAAAATTAAAAATTAAAAAAAAAATGAACAATAGTTTATCACTCCACAAATTTTTTACAAACTGTAAGCAATTCTTTACAAGGACAAATTCAAACTGAAAAATGCTCAGCTGTAATATAAATTGCCATAACACAAATTTTGACAGAATTCCCTTTTGTACTATAACACAAATTTCTTTACAAAGACAAATTAAAACA